GCCAGTGCTTAGGTAAAATAATTTCTTATAAAATGCGAATGATAGATGTTAGCTGTCGCCCGCGACCTCGTCTGCGAGGTATTAAAAAAAGTTAATAAGTAGCCTACGTATTTGTCCAGACTTTGTTCTACATCTATGCCAAATTTCAGCGAGATCCATTTAACCGTTCCGGAGATACTTTCAAATAAACATCCATCCATCCACCTAAACATACTCATTTATAATATTAGTAGATTTTAAACGATCAAGCTATATGCTAAAAATCTATATATGCGTGGAAACAGAACTCTTTTAACGATTGAAAAAAGTTGTATTCCAATTTTTATATAATTTAATCTTTTAATTTAATTAACTTATTGTTTTCATATATTCATAACAGAATTAAATAAAACAAAATCAGAGTTCGTTTAATAACAATGTTGTTGTTGGCTTTGCATCGGAAGCGTACGCGCAAGGGTTATCAGTTGCTTGATAACATTTGGCATATTTTGCTCGCTATGTCATTGTAAATAAAGTAAGATTTAATACGTAATTACAAAGATAGCTCGCGTGTCGACAACTACTGTGACCTACGTATTATACGGATAATTAGAATTATTTATAACTCGCTGTTACAGCTAATTTTTCAAGGTTACATTATTCTATCGATTTTACTACTAAATTCTTTATCTTTGACTTTATTTATAAGTTGCCAATATCAGATATTCGTCATAATTATAATTCTCAAAAACGTTCCCAGGTATATATCAAACCAATACATATTTTCGTCTCGTGATTGTTATGTTGCGATCGAATATTAAAAGTCAAAAGTTCCATACAGTTAAATTTTACACATACAAATATAGTTAGTCTAAACCGGTATGGTCACGCGCATTTGGGTCAAATCACTCGCGTGATCGATCTGAAGTTAAAATGTGAGCGAATTAGTAAGAAACAGCTAGCGAAATCAGCTAAGCTAAGAGCAACACGGAAACGTATGGTGAAAGTGGTGAAAGCGGCAACGGGCAACATTTACCTAATCGTACGGTTACGTCAGCTAAGTGCCGATGTGAAAGTCAATGTTAGGCGGATGCCGCGCAATGACACGTCTTGTTCCGTTACTTTAATTCAAACAGGCATAAACTTGTAATACTATAACTTGGCAAATTGTTTAGTTATTCCCTTTATCATGATGCGGGATGTATTGGACTAGGGTCACCTGATTGCAACATCACTCAGGACCATTGACGATGATTCCACCAGCTACCCGCACTAGCCATATAATGTGAACACTTTTATAAGGGTCACGAACTAATTTGCCAAGTTATAGATTACCATAAACTATGGGTAAAGATTTTTTTTTTCTGTCATAGCGATTCAGGTGGCTGCTTGCTCGTTTGCCGCTTAGTAACGTACACAATCTAAATGAGCTAGTCGTGTGTTGAAGTTAATATAAATCCATATTCTCTGCCTGACCTATCTTAAAGCGGCAAGTGTGTTAACTTCTTGTATCTGAAGATAATCATTGTTTTGGGTGTCGAGGGAAAGTGGAAAGGTGTTTTATCATAAGTTCGGTGATAGTATATCTAAGTGGAACGGGGCTCACATTCAGTGCAATTCATTATCTATGAAAGATAAGCTTGTTTGTTTATATTCCGTACGTGATTGCGAATAGTGTCAACGATCTAATTAAATCTAAAGCTAGGATTGCTAATACCAAAGGACGATAGACAAACCGGACAAAAACTATTATAAGACCTAAGTATTTGATAGAGTATTCGACGGTATATCACAAGGTCAAGTAGAGCATTAAGAAACGGCTACCTTTATACCATTGTTTAACAAACTTCCTTGTCCGTCTACTTTACCTTATCTTTATTATTAATTTCAATTAAAGAACAATAGCCGTCTGCCGCGACTCTATCCGCGCAAAATTAAAAAAAACTCAATTGATCTCCTATGACCAGTCTTCCAGACTATGTTCTAAAAATTTCTTCGAGATCTTTTAGGTCGGGTTGAAGATCTTCTAACAAACATCCATTCGTCTTAACTCCGCATTTATAATATTAGTAAGGTTAGAGAAACCTTCCTATCATGTTTTTGAGCTAAAATCAAACTTGTTGGCCGAAAAAGTTTATAAGTGATGTTTTGCGTCTGATAATCTGACAGAGTCAAAGTTACTATACCAATAGACTATTCGTTTAGCAAATTTTAAAGCAATCATTATAGAAATTGTAAACATAAGTCAATGACATCCTTGGCCTAAATTTCTAACAGATAATGGCTATCAAGTGGAACACTTTCAACACGTATTTAAAACCGGGCCGAAATATTAGGACATCACAGAGAGCTATGACACATTGTGACTTTCTTACTAAAATTTTGAGAGTTAAGAATTTTCACTTTTTAATGCCTAATGCATGAATAATGTAAAAAATGTTCACGTTAAAAATTCATTGATTTTAAATTTTTGTCTGATGTATGCTAACATCGAACATATACTTCTGTTAAGGGTTATATTAATAAATTCAATTCTTCGATAACAGGTATTTTAAGCACCCTTTTAACCTTGTATAGGATATTATCCGTCGGAACATTAGTGTTGATGAGTAGCAATAGCAATTGGATATAAACGCGATCTCAATAGAGGTAATTCGAGGCTGTGCCGGCTTCCTCATGGCGACGTCAGCGCAGCGCCGGTAGGAAACGCGCGCCTTGACCCACTTGACGCGTAGCGCGCCTCTCTACTTCGCTACAAGCCCGCGCAATATGCTATTCGAATCAATTCGTTCGTGTCGACTTGCGAGATAGATTCGATATTAACAATAATCAATCAACGCATTCGGAACAACTCGTTCATAATTTTAGTTTAAAAATTATATTTTAGTAAATGTTTTATACTCAATTATTGCAATGCTATTATTAAACTACTGGCTATAACAAGTTTAAAAAAAGTAAAAAAATCTGTTTATCAGATTATATATTTCAAAAAAATAATCTATGTTCTAGCGATTTTAATAAGCTAGTTTAAAACACAACGTAGCTCTAATCATAAAAGCCGAAGGTGAATAGTTAGCGTTAACAATGTGCCAATTGAACAAACCCGGCCCACTTCGATTGTTCCGAGCACAAAACACGAGCACACATGCTCCCGCACGTGACATAGCATCGGCCATCAAACGCTTTTAAAACGTTCCTACACTACACATTAACAGACCAAGAACTATGAATTTGACCCGTTGGACATATACGATACCAAAATACTTCTAGTTCTATTTCCTAGTTCCTCTGAAAGACGTAACCGCAATAACAAAGCTTTTCTCACTGGGCCAAATAAATTTGTCGCGCTATAAAAAAATCTGTAACTAGCAACCTCGCCACTGTATATAAAAATTGTCTCAAACTAATACCGAAATTAATGGGCGCAGTGCTTTATTCAGCGTGTTCACTTTCACATGAAAAAATCGTATTGACATGGAAAGTGTTAATAATACCAAAAGGTCCGCCTACACTATGACAGTTTAAGGAAATAGTACGAAACTTATTCGATTTGAAGGAATAGAACTCATACAACGTATAACAAAACCAATTAAATACCCTCCTGTTAGTTGGGTAAAATCTCACTTTTCGTATAAATAACGTAATTATTCACAATATACACATCTCTAGCAATAAAGGTTAAAATCACACCTTGTGAGCGACACCTAAATAAATTATATTCGCAAAGTTGCAATCGATTATTTCGTCTGCAAATTTATGTTAATAAATACATTAAGAAACAAAATACTTTTACAAACATTAGTACAGTTAATTTTATCTATTAACGGTAAATTAACAAAACAAGTTTAACCTTTAACAAAAGCCATAGCACATTAAGAAACTGCTTTAATGGCTTTCAGGAAAAACAACAAAATAGAATGATTAAACAGCGAGCAGTAATATTTTTTTGCAAATGATAGTTTATTTCTAAAACAAATTAATTTTAAAAACATAATGAAACGCGTAATTTAATAAATAAATAAAACAAGATAAATAACTTTGATAAACAAGGTTAATATTAACTTTGATCACCACCAAGAGAAAGAAATACAAAATTTTTCATCGTGAAAATGTAGAGTTAACACAAAAGCACTCACTCTCTCTCTCTCTCTGGGCTTTTCTAATCCAACATGACGCATGCGCAATAGCATAAGAGGGAGTTTAAAATGGAGTGTCAATGACACGGATAACAAGCCCTATAACAAACAAACACCCGAGAAGTTAATTCTATAAACATTATGCGTATTATGAGTACGGTAAATAATAGACAAAAAATACAATCGAAATAAAAAAAATAATAAAAAAGAAACAAATTTTTAAAACACAGTCTACGACCAGCGGCAAATCTTTGCAATTTGAAATAAAGGTAACTTGAACTAGAAATAAATAAATTGATGAGAAATGTTTAAAATCTTAAAAGCAATTTGATACATTACTTGTAGAAAGCTAATTCATATGATAATAAGAAAAGAAAACTCAGCAGAGATTAAAACATAAATAAAATCCAAAAAATGAAAACACAAAACCGAGAAAATTTATTAAATCCAATTTCGATTTTATGTATCGAACTTGTATACGATGTCTCGGCAGCCAATTTAAGATGGCGTTCATTTATTAACGATTCAAAGTTCTCAGTGGACAATAACCTTGCTCAAGAATTTATTATGTGTGATATGTATAAATAAATAGATAGATAAGCGTTATAAAGGCCAATGTTGCAATATTCTCTTTTAATTCCGATGTTATTGGCAACATTTCAGCTTTCTGTAATATAGTTTTGTTTCAACATAATGCAAATTTCTCCTTTATTTATTCTTTGTATGTGAATTTAATTTAAAGTATCAAAATTATTATTTGGTAATATTACATTAAACGGCCATGGAACTGTATAACATTAAATATATTAACCCAACTGTTAATTTCAAACAACGGTCCTAACACAACATCTATACGTTAAGAAAGTTTATAAAAAGTTTACTCACACTTGCCATGGGAATGTTTGAAATCCAAAAAGTTTACAATCCACTAAATGAAGACACTGGTCACTTGTTGGCTGATCATAACAATGATAAAGTAACTTGCGCAGCAAACACTTCACTATTCTTCGGAAAAATTTGTACACTTAATTAAATCCGTGAAGGGCACACAACATAACAAGATACTTCACAAAATTCCACTTGACATCGTACGCTTCAAAAGTATTATTACGATTACATAAAACTACACACACCGTATCTGGGCTCACACCCAGTTCCAAGTAGGTACCTGTAACAAGACAAAGCGGTAGTAAGTTTTACGATATTTTACAAGAAAAATTTACAAACTTAATCCATATTTAACTTTTTACTTCACAAGAAAGGAACACAACATATGACGCGTACTCACTTGACTAGAATTAAATTTAAAGTGAGCACAAAATGAACAGAGACGTAAAGAATTTCTTTGTCACGGCGCGATACGTATTAACGAATCAACGACCAAACGATGACTGGCTGGCGCAATGGAGGGAGCACGGGAGGAGAGGGGGAGCAGACGGAGGAGATACGAGGGGGGAGACCGTCTGGTCGACTGGTTGGTCGACCTATTGGCTCGGCACTCACACAGCGATGCGATCGGTAAAGTTTCTAGGTTGATTTGTTTGACGCCCACAGACCCGTTTATGCTGAAATGAATAAAGAAGTTTGAAGCGATCTTTTAACACAATTTGCTTGTTTTATTATATAGGTTTATAAGCGGGCGAAACGAGTTATCAGATTGAATGTTTAATATTAGAAATCCAGCTGATGAGAAGTATCAGTCGGACGACGAGCACACGCAACCTTCAGGAGTTCTCATGGCCATGCGCTCGAGCGTTAAGGTCATCTTACTCGGTTGGTATTGCGAATAACAATGCTTGCTTATTCAGCACAATATTATCACTGCATAGTTTAAACAGGGGTCCCCATGCCGTGCCTGCACGGACGGATATGAGGTTAACACATACAGGTGGTCGGTGCTGTAACTATGGAACAGGTTTTTATAAACTTTCGCGGGATGTATTTCGAGCAAGATTCGTACGTAACTTGTGTTAGCTGTATAATAAAGAAGTAGATTTCGAAATATGGCAGATTACACGTGCGATAAGACGTGTTATCCGAGAGCAAGTGAAGGAAACGCCACACAATGAGATAACAGTTGCTGATAAGGATAACGCGTAAGTAAATACGAAGGGACAGAGTACTGATTACGAATGATAATTAGGCGAGAATCATAATGATTATGATAAAATACTATATTTATGTAGTAACATGATCAAACAGGAAACGTCACTGTATCTAGTCGAACCATATGCTAATCAAATCTATAAAATTCTGATTTATAAGAGTTTATAGAGTCATGCGTAAAGATTTCCTTACTTTTTTGGTGATAGATTAATTAAAATAGAAATTATTGTCTATGTCATTTTACTATCTTATTTCTTACTAATATTATAAATATATTTGTTACAAGATATCTCCAAAACAGCTCAACGGTTTGCGATGAAATTTGGCGTAGATGTAGAGCTTAGTCAGGAAGAGTACAAAGGCCACTAATAAAGTTTTATTTAAATTCTGCGAGAACGAAGTCGCGGGAGATAGCTATTATGTTACATTTGCCCTCAACGTAATCATAATTAGGGTCAGAGAGAGCTGGACATTGCAAAAACGTTTCTGTGATGCAGATGTATTGAGTACACGGAATCTAACTGTCAGTATTAATGACACCACATTTCCTGCACCGAGTCGTAGTGACAGCGATGATCTGATCCCTAAGCTATGCGGTGGCTCCATTGTTATTGTCACTGATCATTTCTTTTGACACGTCATGTCTATTCATAATTATCTCATAATTGTTTTGACAAGCGAAGAACTTTGGATATAACGTTTGATCAAAGTCATTCTTGAAAAAAATAAATGTTCCCGCAAATACAGATTTACGACAGGGCGATTGTGACATTGAGAGGAAGAAATTGTTTTACCATTTAGGCCATACGAGGTGTTGATGAAACCAACATAAACACCGAACCAGCGAAATGTTTACTAGTTAAGTACAAGGAAAATAATACACATATTGCACTTTAAATTTAAAAGAATTTTCGTAATTACATTGTTATCTGACATTCGATTTGTCATCACATCCCTAATTACGATGCAGTGACTGTTAAACGGTCGTGTGTTGTTATGATTCTTGTGAATGTTCACTGGCCTAACCCTTATCGCGTTTGGGAACACATTGGAACATTAAACGTTTCCTGTCACGATCCAATCCAGTTGTAATGACAGACATGACACAGATGTGTGTGGTTTGACACACCACATACCAAAAGCGGAACCAGGTTTGTGCATTGGTCCGATTGACGAATGAATTATTTAAAATTTAAACATATTTAATTCGTATGGTTGAAGACATGTTAAAAATTCCCTTTTTTATTATTTAAAAGATGCGGCTTGTTTTAATAAATTTTATTTAGACGAAAAGCAAATCATTTATAAATTATATTTAAATTTCATTCAAAATAGAACAAGTAAAGGACATTATAATGTTCTTAAGGTTAAACAATAGTAGAATACCGGTTTTGTTATCTTAACACGAAACTAATTATAAACTCAACTTAATTACGTTCACAACTGTCGTTACGACAAATGATAATATTACTTGTGCCATCTTTAATAGTTAAAAAAGTATAATTAAATGATAAAAAATTTATGTACACATTAAATTACTTTTTTTATTACAATGAAGTAAAAATATAAAGTACGTAAATTGCAACTGGCTATTTTTGGCGCTACGCACGATGTAAAATAAAAATAATATATGTTGATAATCTTCGCGGGGGTAACGCACTTGTTCGGTTCAGTTCGCAGCTCTCGCTCGCACGCGGGCATTCATGTTTTTTTTGCTCCTACGCCAAGTCATCGCCTCACTACTTCTTTATTTTTAATGGCAACATAACTCGTCGCGGACTCGCGAGCCTTTCACTGAACCGACAAATATCGATGCATAGATTCATTCCAACCACAGATGAATAAATAACGTTGAAAAATCGTATCAAATCAATTCGCACGTTATCTTAACGTGTGCCAATTTTACCCAATAACATTGGCCAACATAGCTAATTGAACGTAGGATAAAAATAGACACATTATTTTCGGCTTTGCAACATCAATGTTCGAAACTTACGAACATATTAAAATATATAACAAACAATTGGAAATACACGTGCGCATACAGACCTATAGACCTAACCTATTTAGTTTTATCATTTGTACACAAATTGCATTGTCACTGGCTTCGGTAAACTTAAAATTAAACTGGAATTATTACAACTAAGAACTAAAGACTTTTAAAATGGTAAATTTTACTAACAAGCTAGCAACACTAACAAACATCACTCAATTACATCACAGAAAGCAATGGAAAGCCAGCTTAGAACTCACGTAGTTAGCTTTGACTCTTCGATCTTCCAATTTGTTGCAAAATCAACAAGTCACCAGATTTTAAGCACACATATAACACATATCAGGCACTAGTCATAGTAAGAAAAGTTTTTTATTTTTATTTCAAGACATACGTAGCAGCACGCGCGGCTGCCGACACGAAACTGAGACCTGTTGGAGAGAAAGTGACCGTTTCCAGGCGATTACTTTCCAAGTGGCCGTGCGGTTTTGGTTCGTGCCGACTCTGGAGTCTACCGTTACCCTCTTTTGCGCAACGAGGTCGTGTTTTAAAGTTCACGTGGCGGCAACTATGCGCCATCTCGCGGTTATGTAAATAAATGCTATTATCATTTTACTAGCGTTTGTCTCATGGTTACGAGCGAACGTATCTATACTACGTAATAAATAATTATTTGTACTATATGTACTTTAAATATACAACGATTAAAATTGGTAAACTAAACGTAAGAATAATAAAGATGATATGAAGTACAGTTCATTCAGAAATGTCATAAAAGATGTAACTCTTTGCGTCAGAGGTTTATTTATTTAATTGTGTCACGTTTAAGTTATAGTCAGTGTTGGCATCCCACTCATTCTCTTTTAAAAAATAGAGATAACAATATTTGTACGTATGTTTCAGTTTTGGAAGGTTATGTTATGTTTTTATTAAGGAAAATTTTGCGCTTGTATTTTTCCGACTTAATAAGGTAAATCGTATGTAGGGTTATTTTTAAGTGTAGGTTTACCACAAGATTTAAAAAATTATAAATGTGAGGGTCATCCCTTTATATTTTCCTCTGTCCATGACGACATAAAAACCTTATCAAGTTTATTAATTGTATTTTTATTACCTAATCGAAATCTATTCTTGAATTTCCTCTTCCGTGTTTTCCTTTTGCTGTTGTTATTTGCCAATAGAGTTTTTATTCTAACATTAAAATTGATTACCTAATTACGTACTAAGTTGATTTTAATATATCACACAGAAATTAACCATTGAATTTGATCTAAAAGTTTGAAAAAACCAACGTCAAATCGTATATTACTTTTTGCTCTCTACTTATAATAATCTAAAGAGGAAGAGACACGTTTATCTTGTTATCATTTCAATGATTAAATTTGCGAGTGATTACTAAGCACATATACAAAATTAAACATCACACTACGACCCTTAGGAACAGACGAAAGTAATGCGACGGGTGAAATTGGATTTGAAAACTTCTACAGAAACTTGATAATGCTTCTATGGTATTTATTATTTGTAGTGTAGCGTAGATATCGATTTTTTGTCGAAAGGCACATGAATTATAATATTATCTACATGGCGATGTCAACGGCCGTGCGAGGACGAAGGGAATGCCCTCTACGCGTCGACGAACTCACGGCGTACACATATGTCGCAAATATTGCGAAAAATAATAATTACAATGATAAGTCAGTAAACTTATACTAGAAACACCTTTTAAATTAATGATTTTAATAAATTAAATATGTCTTTGGAATATAAGTACGCACAAGTAAACAGGTAAAAAGGTCAAATATTTACCAATTTCGAAGTATTAACCGGTATCTCGAGTTTGGGAAAATACGGATTATAATTATACTATCTGTCGTCTGCGACTCCGTCCGTGCGGAATAAAAAACTTAATTAGTAGCCTATATGTTCTTCCAGACTATTTTCTATATGTATGCCAACTGTCATCGCGATTAGTTCAGCCGTTCTGGAGATAACTTCAAACATCCATCCAGCAAAACATTCGCATTTATAATATTAGTAAGAAGTAAGATGAAGGACGCGTAATGAGC